GGTAAACATCTACCAGACTACACAGCGCAACAACCCAGATGACAGAAATCTTCATACTCATCGCCCTGATGATGGAGGCAGTATGACCTCCGAAACGTTGGTAAACATCTACCAGTCTACACGGCGCAACAACCCAGAATACAGCAATCTTCTAAGTATGTACACTTCCATCCAGGGAGCCCGGTGTATCATATTTTAAATACAAAAAAGTACTTGTTTGATACAACTTACTACTAGTGCAGTGAAAAGTTACATTCAATAAGAAAACAAAAGAGTGTTATTATGAAATATATTTTCACAAGATTTAAGTTAGTTTCATTATCTTTCAGTTGCTCAAAATGGATTTGGTTTCTTAATGGAAAGACCAAAAAAAAAATTGATATAAATATATAAACCAGTTATAATTTCCATAATAACACTTTTGTGTGCTCAACCACAGTCCAGTTTTCTGAATCATAACCGAAGGTGCAGTGCTGTTAAATACCTCTGCAGTAATGGTGCGATGAAATCCGGTCTGAGATGGGAGTACTTGTTGAGGGCAAGAGTAGGTGACAACCATGCGCAACTCGTATAAGACTGCATTACATGAGAGTGTATCTGGCAGATGCAGACCACATCTTCTGCAGTCACCCCATCAACTAGAGACACATTCTGGTCTTTCTTTGCAACTGGGATTTGGTCTAAGGTTGCCTGTTGCTGTAGATCACCAAAGTCAATGGTACTAGATGACGGGAAGATCTCCTCTAACTCCAGAGCATCTTGGTCTTCATCGCTTAGTGTCTTGCATCTGTGACATATACAAAAATACATATATCTTAAAAAGTTCCCACAGAATATGAAAACCAAATATGATAAAGTATATAGTTTTGATGCGTCATGTTTGTGTTTAATATTCACATATATATTTATTATTCAAGTCATACACACAAACTTTTAAATTATTGATGTTAAAATTTAAAATTTAAAATTGATATTCTGCACCATTCATCGTTATTTTGATGTTACAATGAATGGCGCAGAATATCAATTTTAAATTTTAAATTTTAACATCAATAATTTAAAAGTTTGTGTATATGACTTGAATAATAAATATATATAAGATAAAGTAATTTATATTGCCACAAAGGTTCACCATGAGGTACGCTAGTTACGTCACCAAGGTCTGTACACGCATCTCATTGAACTGCATTCTCAAAACAGAAGGATTCAGAAGTTTATCTGCAATTCCTTCTACGTGACATAGCCTGTGCATGGCATGCTGGCAGTTGATTGTCGAAAGGGCTAGAAGAGTAAGGTGCGTGGCCAAAAGTGAAGAAACATTATTCAGCCTTCAAGGACAGAATGATTCATATCAGTGTCGAAATTACACAGGAAACTAAATGAGCAAGATTTGTGATTCATAACTATAAAAAACTGCAATCAAGAACATAATTATTTGTGATCAATATGAGGTCCTTATGTAAGGAAAGTGAGTTAATTGCTGATTAATTATATATTTATTATCTCAGTCTATACACAAACGTATTTAAAATGTTGTTGTTAAAATTTATATAACACTATAACATCTGTAGTATAAAATATTACAATAAGTTATATTATTTTATATCTTAATTGCGTCATGTTTGTGTTTTATTGATACAATAATTTATTTTCCGTCTATACACAAACTTAAAATAATGTTGTTTAAAATTACTTAAAATTATAACATTTCTCAGTAGATACTGTATCTTGTTACATTTTGTATTGTCAATACAAAATGTAACAAGATACAGTATCTACTGAGAAATGTTATAATTTTAAGTAATTTTAAACAACATTATTTTAAGTTTGTGTATAGACGGAAAATAAATTATTGTATCAAGTTATATTATGTTATATTATGGTATTATGGCTATAATTGAAAACAACATAAATGAACTGAAAAACAACACTAGTGCCATCAGGTCTGGCCAGAAAAAATTAGAGATATGGAAGACCAGAGGTTGGCAACCTGCAGTCCTCACATGATCTGGGAATTAGTCAATGTGACAAGGGCACAGATTTTCATCTACTAAGAAGAACAATGATATAAGTAGCATTATCTAAGCATAAAGGGGGAAAAAAATTATTGAGACACAAATTGTGTAGACGTAGACATGTGATGTTAAAATCATGTTATTGCACAAAGGTACACGGTTTCGTGGCTCGAACTATGTGAGATTCAACAAAACAATATAAAAATTACTGTACTATTAACAACTGATGTTTTATAAAATTAACAATATAAAGAATTCTTCTCGGGCTACCAGCCATGTCAGGTGGTTTAATGGAGAAAACACCAACATTTCCAGGAAGAAAATTGTTCTTGAAACCATTTTTTTTCAACTTTTGAGATACATTGTTTTAAAATTGCAACAATGTGATTTAAATTTAAAATATAAAAGAAAAAAATACGCAAGTATGTTTTTGCAAACATTTTTAACTAACATGTTGAATAACATTTTTAACCTTCCTTCATGAAGTCAAGAATGTTGATTCTGTTAATAAATTAGTTTAGAGGCTTACTGTGAAATTATTATCACTCAGTTATATGGAACTACAGGTACAGGTCATGCCAACAAAGTGACACCTGTGTAGCAAGCCGAGGGAGGGGGGCCCACCCCCCAAGTAAGGAGAAGTCTGTGAACAATTATGTAATGGACCTTTAGATCAGTTACACGATAACCTTCATTATGCCTGTCAACATCTGAAGGTGGTCAGTGAGAGGATGAAGGAACCTGTGACCATTCAGCTTATTCTGTGGGAATCCAGAAAGGAGACTTTGGTTATACCACCAAATAAAATCAAGAAGAAACTCTCCTAAGCTCCAGCCATCCTGGGAAGGTTCACTCTAAGGTAAAGATGACAGTGGTACATTTGACAGACTAGTACAATACGAGGTGCGATCGGAACGTTTCCAGACTGTGTCAATAGAGGGCGAACCGGATGTAGTACGAGCTTCTGCCGCTAGGGGGTGCGGCCTACATCAGTGTGCCAGCCGGCATCATCGAATTAGCATTTGTTTCTTAGTTACGGGCGTTTTGGTAGTGCATTACACCGACCCTCCTGCGATTTCGGAATGGCGGATTTTCATGAACAAATCAAATTTTGCCAAAGACTCGCCAAAACGGCTACGGAAACCTATGAAATGCTAAAGCAAGCATTTGGGGAGTCCGCAATGGGTCGTGCACAAACTTTTGTGTGGCATTCACGTTTTAAAAATGGCCGAACCCCTGTCGATGATGACGAGCGTTCTGGACGACCATCTTCGAGCACAACGCCCGAAAATGTTACCAAGATTCGGCAGGCCATTCACGAAGATCGACGTCGTACCATAACGACTTGTGCGACATTGTTGGGACCTGTCAGCTGATTCTAAAGGAAGAACTCCACATGCGACGCATCCTGTC